ATGCAGCAGGTTACTTTTGGATCTGGAAATTTTTACATTGGATAATAATGTCAGTTTCTTGAATTTCTTGAAAATATTATATGCATAATTTAGAACTGAATGGAAGTTCTTGGGGGTGCCCACATCAGGAAATCTTTCTTTATACTTTTCTCAAATGCTCAGCTTTTTAACAGTTTTATTATAGACAGAGAATGCAGAAACATAAAGTTCTATAATGCAGCTTAAGACAAGCTGGAATTATGAATTCCTTTCATAACTCTTCTACTTATTTTGGTATTTTAACCCTTACCCTATAGCTGACTGCTGTAGCATTGCTCAGTTATTTTTTAAGGCATTTTCTGACTTGCATCATAAGAAACCCTTGACTATTTATTTAGTAGTCTGCTGAAATTTCATTTTATTCATAATTACTTCATATGCATTTGGAAATTTGGTCTGCAATCCTAAAGACACTAACATGGAAGTAAGCCCCATCAAACTCTATGGCTTGCTTCTCAATAGAGTTGTGGAAGATTGCAGTGCACTACATTTAGTTGACTCAGAAAACCTCAAGGTCAAGTCCTGAGATTCCATAGAATTAGTAGCAATGCTTTCCCCCCATGAAACTCTGATGTGTTTTGCACAAGTGTTTTCTTAAGAGAGAGAAACAGACTTTGCTATACCACCCAAGAGCTTCAGCTGGTGATACAAAAGTTAAATAAATCCCAAGAGATCTGATTGTTTAACTATAAACTCTGCTAAAGTAACCAGAAGTACATGGTATCACTGCATCTAAATAAACACCCAATGTGCTTTGATTTATAATTTTATTTAACATGCATATCCCGCCCTTCTCTGGTGAAATGCAAGGCAGTTACCAGCAGTCCCCCAGCAAGGCACTCTTCATGCCTAAAGGCTCACAAGGTTTGCCTTTGCCTTCTGTGGCTGACGTTTCCCTTTCTTATGGAACAGACTTCTCTTATATGAGTGCTGTCCACATGTTCTTGGAACTAAAGTACTCCTGGTTTTGAGCTACTAGATGGCTGTGTCAAATCTGACATGTAGCCCAGGAGACTGTTGCTCAGAGCCTTGCTGAAGAGCAGCTTAGCAATTCTGAATGAATAACTAACAAAGTATCCTGAAGTGGCTCCTGGCTTAGCCATACTAGGTGCTTCAGAGGCGTGCTGTTACTTCAGTTGTCCTGAGTGCACTGTATGACCTTACGTATCTTTCCAGTAAATAACCACCCCCTCAAATGGAACCACGCACATGCATTTATTTAAAATATTTTCATAGTGCACATCAAAACTGATTCCAGGGAGTTGCTAACATTATGCCTCCCCTACAGAAGAGACTAGTAGAAAGAAAGAGAAAACAGGATATTGAACAATATATAAAAGTATGTAATAGCCTGTGTGGATTTTTAAAAGTTTGTTGATTGATGTTTAAAAGAAAGCAGCATTGGCAACAAGCGGGTAGTGCATGAATGCCTTGGTTTTGTCTGTTTCTTTTGTCTCCATTGGTCTTCCTGTGCTCCTGGCTGTTTCCTCCTCTGTGCCTGGGTGTACCTCCCTCATTTCAGCAAGTGTTAGGGGAACTGGAAGGAAAAGCACATTTCTTTCTCTACAGTGGTGAAAAGTCATTGCCCTTCATTACTTCAAGGTGGCCAAGGGACTCCAACACCTTTGTTCCTCATTCTGCCTTGACCCTTTTCTGTTCCATAGCCTTGGCATTTTACTTCCCTGGCCTGCCTTCTTGATGTCACACACCATCATCTTTTTCATCACAGCATTTCTTTCACTTTTCCTTCTGATTGTCTGTCTTTTACTTAGGTCACTGAAACTGAACTGCTTTTATTGATGTCAGTGGGGAGAGGCTGATGGCTCTATAGCAGAAAGTGGCTAGGCAGAAAGGGGGAAGGGACTTAGGTTTTCCTAGACCTACCTAGGACAACCCACCATGGGAGAGCAGTCATGGTGGATTGTTGTATCATCTAAATGAGGAGAGGCTGAGGGAGCTGGGTCTGTCAGCCTTAAGAAGAGGAGACTCAGAGAGGACCTGCTAGCGACATACAGGTATACGAGGGCATGTCATGCAGAGGTGGGTCATGACCTTTTCCTCCCTGCACTGGAGGGCAGGACAAGTTCCAGTGCAGCAAAGCTCAGGGAACGAAAATTCAAAGTGGATGGCAGGAAACACTTCCTGACAGTTAGGACCCCTAGGGAATGGACTTCCGTGGGAGGTGGTTGAAGCCCCATCAATGAGAGTGTTTAAGGATAGACTGGACATGCACATGGTAGGCATGTCATGAGCAGAGCTGGCTAGAGCCGGGGGTCAGACTAGATGGCCTGGGAGGACCCTTCTGACTCACTCTGTTTCTATGTAAACCAGAAGTATTTTCCATGGGGCAACTTTTTTCTCAGGAAGAAGCCATGCAAATAACCCATGGCTCATTGTAGGATTGTTCTAACCTTGGTTTACATGTAGTGACAACTTGCAGGTGGTTAAATCCATAGATTGTCAGAGTTTCATGCAAGCACACTTTCTGCATCCTAGCAGACAAGCCAGAAACATAGCCTAGGTTGCTCAGGATAAAACAGGCCAGAGCTTGAATCAGTTATTGTTAGGTTAAAACTCTGGATTATTTCTCTGTCAGCAATCCAGAGTGACAGGTTCACACATGCCAAAAAACTCAGGAACTGGATGCTTCTGCCAAAAAAAA